GCTGTTATTTTCACATCCCACCCTAGACGTCACGTCAGGACCACTTGAATATATGCTCTGCAGTTGCACCATGGACATGCACAAACATCAGCTTTACTGTGAAACTGACGACACTGTCAGAGCAGTTTGGTCATAGTGGGTTCCTCAGTGCATTAACTCAGCAGAACCACTGCTGAGCATCACATGTCATCATGCAGCTGCCCACAGTGCAGTGAAAACAGGTTCTGACCCACGATCTTTGTTTACCACTACCTCTAAACTGGGCTCCCACCTGACGGTGTCGTTTTCCTCACAGTTTGAAGGTGGTCATTCTGACAGACAGACAGACTGTAGTACAGCAGGCAGATTCTCAACCACTTGAGCACCATTGAGTCTGGTCATGAAACCTGATATTGTTGTATAACCATCACATTTTCATAAAATAGGAAAAGATGAAGAACTTCTGGGTAATCCTTAGTAACATGAAATAAAAGCAATAAATTATTGTAGAGTCTTTAACTTAAAATCACCTTGTGGCTGTTGTGATTTAGTGCTCTCTAAATAAAACTGAATGTACGGGGAGGCTGCGGGGGAGCACTGGCAGCTGCAGTATGTTTGTAATTTTAGCCTGCATTATGGCTCATCAGGGTCATTATTCTTAAAAATAAATGGATATTCTGCCTGACGGGGTAAGCAGAGTCAGGCCACAAAGAAAAAATTAATTATACTTTCATATAATTATATAATTTTCTCTCATGTTTGTGCCATCTGAGGAGGTGAACTCCAGGTGACTATAGAGGATAATATCACTGTTTTCCTTTTCTCCTGTCTTTGCCCAGTGCTTGGTGTTTGAAGATGCTCCCAATGGTGTAAAGGCAGCACTGGCAGCAGGAATGCAGGTGGTCGTGATTCCCGATGACAACCTGGACCGCAGCCTGATCCAGGAGGCTACGCTGCGACTAAGGAGCATGGAGGAGTTTGAGCCGCAGCTCTTTGGCCTGCCAGCATATGACTGAAATGACTCATACCTGTAATTCAGGAAGCTAGTAACCATTGTTAATTGATTGGTTGTTAAACAATAACGTCATAAATGAGTAAACTATTAGTAAAAGGATGGGCACCGTAAATCTGTATTACACCTACAAATCTTACTTGGATACTAAAAAGTGGAACCTGATGGTTCTAATCTTTGTTCCAAAGGGAACCGCTCAGCTTTAGGGTGGTGATGTAAACTACGTCATGTGACTCGTCTTATTATCGTACTGCTGTTATCGAAAGGTTCATTTGAACCGTACAAACATCTAATAAAGAAAACATCAGCAGTTTGAGTCGAACCATGTTCAGGTTCTTCACTGTCACCTGTAAAATACCCAGAGTAGCATTTGATTAATTCACTGATGTACAAACACAGTAATTGTCTTACATTCGTAAGGTGACTTTTTAATCTGATAATGTAATTCAATCAATCAGAACTTTATTTGTCACATGCAGGTTGCC